GGACGATGAAGACACAGCTCCCAATATTTCCGGTGAGTACGATCCTCATCCGGACTTCAAACCCATCATCAATCTACCCGACGAAATCGAAGCACAGAGAACAGACGTTCAAGTTCGGTCAGAAACTTGTGTAAAATAAGTGAGAACGTCGCCGTTACGTGGTGTTAGCATCTCCTGATTTTCTCAGGGGGAACGACACTCATTTGGATGCATTTTTTCACTTTAATCATTACTTGGGATTTTCGGGGAAAACATAATTGATGGGATTTTTTGAGTGTGTCGTCTTGACGAAAATAGAGCAAGGATAGAAAAAAAAAATAAATTGGAATGGATCAGGGGATGGAATGGCTGTGAGCGGTGTAAAAAAATTTCAGAGGGATACGAGTCTGAACGCGAAGAGGATAAGTCTGGAGTGCGGTTTGAATTGGTCGTATGTGATAAACTTAAACAAATTGACGTTTTAATGCTACCAGAAACTACTTTGCTTACTTTTCCTAAAATCAAAATTTGGATTTTCTCATAAAAAACTATTATTTATTTATAAATGATTGATTTGATCAAAATGATAGCTAAAAAAAGCTGTAGGTAATTAAGTTTTCTTTGAGAAAAAAATACATTGAAAGAAAAAAACTATGAGTGGCGCCGGTGGTGTCTTCTCATCCCAGCAGGCCTGGATTCAATCCCAGTCGGCGCCGCCGGGATGTTCTGAAGCCAAGGTTGCAAATACTCATTTCAGCTAAAATAATGTTTTTCGGAATAATTAAACCAAAAGATGGTATGATGGCATGTTTTACTTGTAACTTACAAGAAAAGGTCACAAAGTATGCGTTTGAAAACCTGTAAATTTTGCTTTCTAAGAGTCACAATCAGCGATTTGCTGATCGCTGAGTGAGTGAGTGAGTGTGTTGAAAATCGTTGATTGTGACTGTCATGAAGTGAAATAAACAGGTTTAATATGTCAAACACATTCTTTGCAACCTCTTCTTGTATCCTACCAATTCAAAATTTGATCATGGCATCTAATTATTTCATAATTAAACAAAACATTGTTTTAGCTGAAATGAGTATTTGCAACCTTGTCTGAGGCATAACATCTCTGATCACAGGGAAGTAAAGCCGTTGGTCCCCGGTTCATGAGTTGATTGGTCGATAGGTAGGGTCCAGGTGTGGGAGCTGCCTCCCTGGCGTCGGTGGCATTGATGTTCAGCACGGAAAATAAGATCGACGGAAAACAAATTAAGGAAATAAAAATTATGTAAATTCCAGGGGGAACGACACTCATTTGGATGTATTTTTTCAGTCTAGTAATTACTTGGGATTTTCGGGGAAAAACATAATTGATGGGATTTTTTTGAGTGTGTCGTGTTGACGAAAATAGAGCAGGGATAGAAAAAATAGATGGGAATAGAACAGGCAATTGATGTGATGTGAGGGATGTTAAAAAATTTCAGAGGGATACGAGTCTGAACGCGAAGAGGATAGGTGTAAAAAGAAGAAAAATTTGCTGCTATGAAGCGTCCATGAATTACGTAACGCTTATAGGGGGAGAGGGTGTCACCTATATCGTTACGAATTATGCATAGGGAGGAGTAGTAAAGCTTTGCGTTACGTAACAAAAAGAACATTTTGTTTTTTTTTTCGTTTCTTGATGTACAGTTTGAAAATACAGGTCTTTTTAACGTTTTTGGTACAACAACGAAAGCTGTCATCACTAAATCTTGCTTTGCAAAATGGATCTGTTTTAATTTTATAAATTGTGATTTTTGCTACAAAAAGAAATCAAAAATTAATTAAATGAAAAGGCGGGGGGGGGGGTTTATAGAGCGTTACGTAATAAATAGAGAGGGGTCATTTTCAGTGCAAAGTTTTGTTCCAAACGGGGGGGGGGGTAAAAATATTCATTTTTAGCTAAACGGAATTAATGGACACCGCTCGGGACACCGCCCAACTATAATAACCAAAGCTCACAGCTCAAGTGCAGAAAATGGTTCCGTACCGAATAGGTCGAAACTGCAAACTAGGAGGAACGGGTGATGGCGATGGATTACAAGGTTCCGGTTAATATTCCCAGCTGCATTTGGACGGGAATTTGATTCGCAATATTCTCGCACAGAAATACATCAGCCGGTGGGTGTCTTACTTCACCATTAACCCTTGACCAGCATCAGAGACGAGTAAAACTTGGGCCGAGTGGAAAAAATGACCTGAATTCCTTTTCCACCTGCTTGTCGTAGGGGGTTTCATTGGTAAGGCTTTTCCCGGGGCTAGAATCAGCTGAACGAAATCAACAGTTGCTTCGCGCCTGTTCGGCAACTTCCATGCTACAACACACAGAGACCCGGGCTCTTATCCGTCGAATTCGATCGGTTTGAGTCCGGGATGTGCGTTGCCGTCTCTTCCGTGATGCACTTGATGTTTTTTGCCCCCGAGACCGATTATAGACGAGTGGTCCGTTATCTTTTTTTTAGTTTTCGCACCGATTTTTTACCGATATGGCCAGCTGACATACGTGGTGTTTGTTGTGGAGAGTGTTGTAAACTGACAGTGAGTCTGGCAGAGTGCTTCGCGGTCGACCTGAAAACTTCGAAAAACTGCACGGCTTGCTTGACAATTTGTGTGCATGCAGAAGGGATAAATTGGGAATAGAAAGAATAGATAGGATGGATTGAAATTTTGTGCACGTTGAAAATTATATGAGAGGTTTGGGTAAAAATGGGATAATCCTGAAGTGTCGTTCCCCCTGGTAAATTCATGGTTAAAAAACACAAAACGTTGAATCTCTCAAAACACCCCACTTTAATTTTTATATTTCTTTTGTAAAAATAAGCTGAAGTAATGCTCTAAAATTTGATGAAAAATGTAAGCTGGTAACTCCTGTATTTTTAAAGTTTTTATTGATTTATAAAATATAACGAAATTGCACATTTTTTTAGTAAAATAATAATTAATTTAGATTTTCGCATAATTTCTGATAAATTTGTTTGCATGAAATTTGTTTCTAAGTCCAGACGTTCTTAAGTTAATGCAAATCACAACATATTAATTATGAAAAATCAACATTTTAGACCATTTTCAAATGTTAGTCGATATGTCCAGCAACAAAATGTTTTCCATGATTGTATTTAATAACAAATAATAATTTTGAATGATTTATTGTCAGATTTGGTGGCTGTCAGACTTGCTCGTTTCTACCTAGGTGCAGCGGAAGAAAAACAAGTGTTTAAGTAAATACTTTCCGTAAAGTAAGAAGGAACGGCTGGTGGCGATGGATCACTAGGTTCCGGTTAATATCCCAGCTCTATTTGGACGGGAATTTGATTCGCAAAATTCGCGTACAGAAATTCCATCAGCCAGCGGGCGGCTTCCTTCTCCAAACTCATGACCAACCCCAGCCAAGAGTGCAACTCAGCGGCGCCGGTGGTGTAGTGGTAAGCGTGATTACCTCTCACCCCAGCAGGCCTGGGTTCAATCCCAGTCGGCGCCGCCGGGATGTTCTGAGGCATAACATCTCTGATCACGCCTTCCTTCGGAAGGGAAGTAAAGCCGTTGGTCCCCGGTTCATGAGTTTGATGGGTCGATAGGTAGGGTCCAGGTGTGGGAGCTGCCTTCCTGGCGTCGGTAGCATTGGTGCTCAGCACGGAAAACAAGATCGACGGAAAACAAATCCAAGAAAAAAAAAAAAAAGTGCAACTTGGGCCGAGTAGAAAAAATGAATTCTTATTCCACCTGTTCGACGAAGGCGGTTCCATTGTCCGGTGAGGCTTTTCCCGGGGCTAGGATCAGTAGTTTGGCACCTTCCAAGCTACTATACACCGACACCTGAATGCTCTTTTCCGTCGGATTCAATCGTTTTAAGCCCGGAAAGTGGATGTGCGTTGCCGTCTCCTCCATGATGCGCTTGATGCTTTTGTCCCCGTGATCGATTATGAACGAGTGGTCCATCGTTTACTTTAATGAGATCGTTGAAAACTGACAACGATTATGGCAGAGTGCTCCTAAAAACTGCGAGAAATTGCACGGCTTGCTAGATAATTTGTGTGCATGCAGAAGGGATAAGTTGGGAATAGAAAGAATAGATGTGATGGATTCAAATTTTGTGCACGTTGAAAATTTTATGAGAGATTTGGGTTAAAATGGGATAATCTTGAAGTGTCGTTCCCCCTGGATTTTCTCTATAAATTTTCCACTTTCGACCAATTTGGCGCTAGTATCGATAGATTTTCTGTTGAAAATTGCCACTTGGCGCTACTAGCACTTAGTGTCTAGTGTAATTTGTGCAACGTCAGCGCCATCATGTTGTCAAAGAGGGTTTTTAAGTGGGGAAGTCGCCGTTAGTGGTGCTTAAGTCAAATAGGAATCTTTACACAAGTTTTCAGAGAAATTTTGTTCGAGCCTCCATGTCTGTTCTCTGTGGCTTAAATCTGATTACATTTTTACGACTGTGAATTCCTGTTATACCATATTTTTTCTTTAAATGAAATATACATACTACAAAATACGGCTGATTTCGAGTTGCCGATAATAGAACAGCTGGTTAACACGCAGTTCAAGTGGAAAGGGTGCCGAAGAAAAAGAGACTGCCGACAATAGTCACTCTCACCTGAGAAGTTTGGAGCGTTGTAAAAACATGTTCAACCCGTTTTGATCAATTCTGTCGATTGGAATTGGTAGAACAGCAAGCAGCAGATAAATGTCAACAAACAAACCTGTCATGCATGTGTGTGACGCTGAGAAATCGCTAATAGAAGTTCGGACGCTGCTTAGATTGACGAGAATACGTAAATTCCCCTATGTATCTCTTTCCACTCGATCCATGGCAGCATGTCGCCTTCCCCCTTACAGCAACCGAGCAACTTCTGGTTGGCGAGTACCAAACTGCTGGTCACGGTATAAAATTTTATCGTAAACGACCGATCGCGGAAATTTTAAACCGATCGGGAACATTGCAATTGCCCCACAGAAAGGCTTTCGAAAATAACATTTTATTCCAACCGGTTAACTTTGCTAAAATTGAATATCATACTGTTTGCTTTATTTTTTTTCCATTTATCTCGAATAGGTATCATACAAGAAATCACATTGTTTACTTTCGAAAAAGTCGACCCTATCTCGTCAGTTCGATTTCACTTTTTCAGTGTTCTGATTTTTCGAACACTTCGCCTATATGTACAGAATACAGCTAAAGAAAAACGACCTTTTTATCATTTTATAATTCTAAGGGATTGTTCCACTTTTTAGTTTCGCTTACCAATTTAAACATAAGGACCTATCACATTACGTCCGCTCATCGTATTTTTTTATCTTCGCTTCACTTATTCATCAATCAATAACACACTATTTAACAAATATGGGGGGGGGGGGGGGGGGTGAAATTTGTTGCATACGTCTAATTTGTGTTTGTTAACCTACAATTTAATAATTTGAATGGATTTTTTCTCGTTCCAGTGAGGAGCGTTCATCATCGTATATATGGCAAACTGCATACTATAGGTACTGTTGCGAAGAGCCGACACACGTGCTGCATGCGGCGGCCGTGTGCGAGGATTGTGCCAGAGTCCTTGGGACTAGAGATAATCGAAAGAGGGATCGGGGAACTACAGACAGCACAAACAGAAAAACAAAACAGGTGGGATTCTCACGATGACGGTTGATCCAACGACACACGCTCTTCAAGCACCCAAGCGTGCGGCAATTGAGGGGGGGGGGGGGCTCCTTTTTTCCATCTAATGCTCAAAGTACACGGTCATGAATCCCATCAGTCCGATGCCCAGTAGTAGGGCGGCAAATTGTTTGATCGATTCGCGCGGTTCACTTTCGCTGAGCAGATCCGGCAGGACCGTTACCAGTGCGATGTGCAGGAAGCCTCCCGCCGTGAACGGCATAATCCAGGAGGTGCGAGCTTCCATGGCCGTGGTGGCCCCACTGCCCCCGATGGCCACCAGGGCTCCCACGAGACCGGCCCCGGCAGTCAGCATCTGAGCCTTGGCTGCATCCCATCGGCTGAACCCGGACCGCAGCAGGATGGCAAAGTCGCCCACCTCGTGCGGGATTTCGTGCACTGAAACGGAAGAGATCATGAATCAATATCTCAAGACCAAAAAAAAAAAGATCTATGATCAGGCATGGAAAATCATTTAGAATTCCGTAAAATGTTATGTATGAAGCTTTTATAGTTTTTGATATTAGCTACAACGTATAAATGAAAACACGAAATGAATGTAAATGATTGTCCATGCCTGCCTATGACTACTTACAAAGAATGGCGAACGTGGCCAGCACCCCGTGCCGGAAGGAAACCAAAAACGACCCGGCCACCGCCAGTCCGTGGGTGAAGTTATCGATCGAATTGGCCAGTAGATTCAGATAGCCGGCCACCTTCTTGGCCGGTTCCTTCTTCTCTTCCGATTTCCCCGCCAGGAAGCATCCGTTGGGTACGTCTTCGATGTCGCACGCCCCGCCAGTTTGACCGCACGTTCCGACGAAACCTTCCGGCAGTTTTCCACCGCTCTGCCTCAGCAAACAGGTGGCAATCTCGACGCACCTGGGCTGCGGATTGTTCTCGTCGGCGTTCGTGTAACCGGAGAAGATCTTCTCCACGATGGTAAAGATCAGCACTCCCCCCAGAACCCACAGCCCGCTGCGCATCGAAGGGTGTTCATCTGAGGGAAGAAATCCAACCAAGTCGGATAAGTCCCGCCCGAATATTTTAGTCAAGAAGTAAGAATCTTACCACTTCCACTGGACGCCACATCGCTGCTCCACGCCTCGGGTAGTAGGTGCAGGAAGACATCCCCCAGCAGACCGCCGACGGCAAAACTGAGCAGAATTCTAAGGGTCTTCGATTCGGCGGCTGTAAATGGAAGATCTCAGATTAGTAAAAGCACAGAAGCTCGTGATTCAACAGCGGTTCCGATTAGCCGGGCGGTGGCGGCATCTTGAAGCTGTGATGATGGGCATTGAGATAGGCAGTAGAATGCGAGCGACAACAATAAAATATAGACAATTGCACGATACCCCCCAATTACCCGCGGAGCGTTGTCGTGCTCACGTACGGTGCGATAACGATCGATCGCAATTCGATAACGGGTCCGTTCTTTTTTTTTCGGTACACCGCAACGGCAACAAGTCTAGAGAAAGGTTAGTGACACCGTTTTGCGTTCTCCGTCGGTGCATTTCGACATTTTCCGAAGAGCCGACTTATGATTCACACGGCGAATGAGAACGACCCAAATTTGAGTTTATTTCACTCATAATCGCCAAAAGTGCAGGAACTCAGCGATGAGTAAATTTGCCTCATGTTTTTCCAGGGAAAAAATCCCGAATTTGAGAAAAGTAAAGATTGGATTCACTCAGTCTATTGGTACTACTCCGAGACTGAATAAAATTTTCGTCAATTTCCTCATTTTCCGGCAGATTTTTTAGAGAGACATATTTACTTATCGCTGAGTTCCTGCACTTTTGGCGATTATGAGTGAACTAAACTCAAATTTGGGTCGTTCTCATTCGCCGTGTACTCGTAGTTAGCTGAGATTTAAAAATCTGATTCCAAGATCGAGCAAATTACCTGAATATTTAAAAACCAACATCTAGACCACATATTGGTGGTCTAGATGTTGGTTTTTAAATATTCAGGTAATTTGCTCGATCTTGGAATCAGATTTTTAAATCTCAGCTAACTACGAGGACACTTGAATAGTTTTTGAGAGGTTTAAGACTCCCCCTTCGCCCTGCCTTGACCTTAGGTTTGTTCCCGTACTTGGCTAGTAGGCTGTGTATAAAAGAAAATGATTTACTTAGTTTGACAGTTGCACCATGATGAAGTGGCAGCGTATTCGTGATTTGTCCCACGCGCAAATATCGCAAAAACACATTTCAATCGCCGTGGGAGTGTAGGTGCCCGAAAAAAAATAACAACAAAAATACAATAAAAAACAATGTAACAATAAGACGAAAATTATTGTCTTAACAATGATTTATATTGTTACGTCTACAATAAATTTACCTTGATTTATGTTGTACAAAACAGTAAATTTCATGGTAAATGGAAAATTTACAATAAAAAAGGGGGGTTGTTAAGTATCTTAACAATGAAATTTTCGTGATTTCCCCATATAATTTTTTTTCAATAACATTATATATTATTGTTATTTTACTGTTGGTTGGCGAATTTATTGATTAAAAAAAATAACAGTGTACTTTAGAGTGTATGTGTTGGCTTGACAGATCTACTTTATCGACTTTAAAAATAAATCGAAAAAATAAAACATCGCCCCGGGGAGGGAAGGGGGTGGTGTAATGTCTGTTACGGGTGAGTCCTTTTTTTACTGGTTATGGATTGAGATTCGATCCGGAACTTGTGAGAAATGGAAGCCAACTCCCCTGCACTCGATCTCTCTAGGTCACGTCTCCTTGGTGGTTGAACGTCGTTGATAAGTTAATGCATTCAACTGGAGAGAATCGCCCATGAAAATATGCTTCCACCTGAGAGTGATTTCCTGACATCTTCAAGTGGTGGATTTTTTATTATTATTGTATGATTAGTGACTGCACGGAAAAGGTCTGCATTAAGCGGGATTTAGATGAGGCAGGAGAGTTGAGTTCAACTCAAACCGATCTGGTCGTAGGCGTTCAATTGACTTGGCAACGAATAGAGCCAAACGAACTGTCAAAGCAAGAGCCATACGAGCAGCACCTATCTTGATTACATTGGCAGTGTTGCTGACCCTCTCATAGTCTGCATGCTTCAATCAGATTTATTTTTATTGTTCGTGAAGTAACCCACAATGAAAACACACCAATATTTAATGTAACAACATTTTTTATTGTAATAGAATTGTTCATTATTGTTCGTGATCGAATCATGTTAACAATAAAATAAATGCAAAATACAATAAAAATCATTGTAACAACATTTTATTATGTACATTCATTGTACAGCTAGGTAACAGTTTTGCCGTTTTCGGAAGGGTACAACATTATAACAATCATTTTTATTGTCGACAATAAATATTAATGTTAGAGCATTGTTTCCACTGAAAATTTCACTGTAATTTTTTTTTTCGGGTGGTGTCCCGATGGACCGTCAAAAGGGTTTTAGACCGAGAAAAGAAAGGACAACTATCCGCAAAGGTGACCACAGGTCGTCCGAGGTCAGCTCGGGTTCCGAGGGTTATCGCTGCTATCAAAAGGAAGATTCGGGTAAATCAAGTGCGTTCAATAAGGAAAATGGCAAAGGAACATGGGATCAGTGATCACTACGGCACGGTAGATCGTAAAGGAAGATTGCCGGGCGAAGTCGAGGGCACGGAAAAAAAACTCACATGAATACCAACCGCTTCCGGGAGCTACGAGTCGAACGATGCAAGAAAATCTTGAACTTCCTTAAGCGAAAAAATCTGGTAATCCTGTTCACCGACGAGAGCATGTTAACCGTCGATCCCGTATCAAATTCCAGAACCGACCGGTATATTAGTTCTCTACCGGTAAAAGACGTGGCCGACGAGCACAAGAACGTGTATCTGACCAAGCATCCTGCTAGCGTTATGGTGTTTGGTTTGGTGGCTTCCGATGGCAAAAAAATGGACCCAGTGTTCATTCCAGAAGGCGACAAGGTCAACACGGAGGTCTACATCGGGATTTTAAGTAAGTATGTTCTCCCGTGGATCAAAGAACAGTACGGTCCGAAATCAAATGTTGTATTTCAACAAGATGGGGCTCCATGCCACACCTCGAACCGCACTCAGAAGTGGTTGCAGGAACATCTTCCGTTCTGGACGAAGGATATGTGGCCGCCATCCAGCCCCGATCTTAATCCGCTGGATTACTCAATATGGCGCGCGCGTTGCGAGGAGCATTACAGTCGATTCGCGTTCAGGTACCTTTAAACCCTGAAATCATCCTGGATTCGCTGGCGAACAACATTAAAGGCCCAAGCGCAATGACGGCGGAACCGGAACGGCAACGGCAGCGGAAAAGCCCGATCTGATTAAGCCTACTTGTCGGATTGAAAACTAGTTAGATTCTAATCGATTTCGGTTAGGCATCTTGATGTCATTAGTGACAACTGTCAAACTTTCCGTTTCCGTTCCGCTTCCGCCCACATTGCGTTTGGGCCTTAAGGAGTTTCGCTACGAACCAGAGGGAAGCGTCACGTTCGCTGCCTGGTACGCCAGGTACGGCGACCTGTTTGAAAAAGATGCTGCTCACCTCGACGATGAGGCCAAGGTTCGCTTGCTCACTGGGTGCTGCGGAACTTGAGCGTTACGTAAGCTTCATCTTACCGAAGGTTCCAAAAAACTAGCTGATTTTTTCGCTAACGAATCGGCTGGAAAGCAGTGGTGTTTGACGCGGTTTTCAAGTTCGTCAGTCAAGTGTGAACTCAGTGAAATTCGATCAAAAAGATAAAGATTTTTATTGCCTGTAGCAAGAAGTTCGCGTTTCAAACCGCTGTGTAGATAGTGTGTCTAAATACAAAAAGCTCGTTCAACGGGCTTTTTCGTACGGGCTGGAATTTTCGGCGAGTTCGGCTTCCATCGGCATTTGTCGTGGCGTCAACTTGGCCGCCATTTCCGTCCGTTGGATTCGGACAAGACCAGGGTGCATTGCGAAGGCCCGCCTCTTGTAGGTAGATAAACGGAGTGTCGTTAAGTCGCTAGTTTGCTAAGCGAAATTTTCCCCAAGGGTCGCCAAAAGCCGTTGGTAGAGTCCCCATTACGTCACAACCCCGAGTACAGTGACATTCGAGAGTTCGGACCGCAGAAGTACGAAGCCAATTGCATACCTCGGTTCGGATTTTAACCAAAGAGGAGAAGATTACATTTCATCTCGGGCGGTCATAGCGGAAACATAGTACGCGAAGCCGTGCGAAGGTACGTTGGTCTCTCTCTTCTGCGGAGCGAATCTCCCGGGAAATGCTCGACTCCGTCGATGCTCAGCTCTCTAGAAAGCAAATCGGAAGCCTTCCGTCCAGCCGCCACTACCTCCGCACCTTTAATTTCGGCCATACCGCACACGGGTCACTTTTCGTCGCTGCACGCCATTTCCGTAGCTTGATCGGCGCCATTCCGAGACCGTCGCCATTATCACAGGTCGTCGGAAGGTCGACAGTCGCCATCGTCAGGACCTTGATAAAGTCACCGGCCGCCATTACCGCTCCATCCGTCGCCATCATCGCATCGCATCGCATCGCATCGAAAAAACCTGCGCAGGTATGTCCGTATTTTCTTTTCATGGCCATGAATAGTTTGCTTTTTGAACCGAGTTTAGTCCAACCCGAATGAATGTTAAGGAATGATGTGAATATAGATTGAAATTTAAAGTTTTTTTTGTTGAGTTACTTATTTTTCTGTCACGGTTTTATAGCTGACTCGCTCGCCATTGAGTTCTTGGGCTCGTCTTGGATTCGCATCAGACACATTCGGTTTAGCTTGGTTCGTTAGGTCTAATGAACATTGGGACTATAATTTGTGGACTTCTTTGAGGTTACGGGTTTCCCTGATGTTAAATGGATCGGATAAAGGTGTACTTTCGATAAAGATTAGTTTTCCGTTAAAGTTTTGAATTTCATTGAGGAAGGGCTTTTAATCATACCGTTCGGGTGGTCCTCTGAGGATCAGTCTCTAAGTCGGGCAAAGAAAACACGACCGGTGGTCTCTCGTAAAGGGAGTGGCGCTTAAGCCACCGAGTTTCACTTGAACCTCGAGCATTCTTCGCGAACGGTTACATTGGTTACAGTGAAAAAACTGAAAACGCTTTTCGGTGCTGTCGAGTCCGTTGTAAGCAAACGGTATCGCTGTTTGCAAATTGCAAAGCAACCTACCGAAGATTCAATTTCATTTGCCTGTCGAATCA